AAATTGCTCTCTTTTCTAATTCTCAGTGTGCGTCTGTGTATGCTCACTAATTGGAAAAAGAGCGCATTTTTGTTAATTGAATAACTTTTCACGATTTAATGACTATCCATTTATACGAGAAATTTTTCAATGAAAAATAAATATAGATTTCGAAAGAATTCAACGGTAATATAGAAAATAAATAAATAATATTAAAATATTATTATAACTAAATATGAAATATTATCAAAAAATATTTTTATTTATCTTTATTAACTAAATCGTTAAATTGTCATTATTAACTAATATTTAATAATTTGTAATTAATGTTAATATATTTTTAAAAAATAATAATAAAGAAATCAATAATGAATAACAAATAAATAATAAATAATAATAAAAAAATCAATAATGAATAACAAACGAATAATAAATAAATAATAAATAAATAATAATTAAATGCAGAAGTAAATAAAGAAATAAATATGAATTTAGTACTAAATTTTTTTTCAGAATTCAGTAGAAGAATAATTATAGTTTATAGTATTTAAATAGAAATTAATAAATATCGGAAAGAATTCGATGGAATAATACTTCATAATGTTTATAGTAATAGCAGTTGTTATAGTGTAAGAAAAAGAAAAAGTTTTTAATTCAAGTTAAATTGAGATTTGTGAGACAAACGAGATCATAATGTTACGCTCTATTAGACTACTGCGGTTTCCGATTGTTGAATTCTTTTTTCCCCTCCTCATAATTTTTCCATCTCCGTTCTTAGGCCATTGGCAAAACAGTCGTAAAGAAATAAAATTATCAAGTATCAAACAAGACTGTTGCTTATTCCCCTGACACGCATCATTACTTTCGAGAGCGAGACGAACATTCAGGGCCGTACTTTCAAGTACAGAAAATCAAATTTCATATTTCTTTTGGAAAATGAATGAACGAACTGTATTCGAAAAATTATCTAAATCGTTTTTAATTTTATCGAAAAAAAATACTTCTTCATTACTCAATTTATCATTATTAATTTTTGACGATTCATGTAGGTATGATTAACAAGGATTGTTAAAAATGAATCACATGGGAAAAATTGATGATGATGGAAAATATTTCTGATTTCGAATAAAAGTGTTTTGAATATAATTTGTTTACCAACTTTTCGGCAAAGACGACGATTAGCTTCTTGTCATCGTGACGTTATCGCTTTTCGAATTAAATTTTATTAGTTTCCAACAACTCAATCTTCATCAACACATAATACGAGTGTCCGCATATTTTATAAGTATTTATGGAATTGAAAGGAAACAAATTCAAAGGACTTTATAACTATGAACTTTAGTTTCTTAAGAAATCAGAGTTGCCACAGGTCAGGGAAGTCAGGGAAATCAGGGAAAAGTCAGGGATTTTTAGTAAAAGTACTGAAAAAAATTGAAGTTTTAAAAATCATGAGAAAATCATGAATTTTGATGTTTTTTTGTTTGCCTCGTAAATTAAGAAATTACCACGAACTTTTTTAAAACAAAATCTTCAATTTTTTCTATTTCTGACAATAATTTCTTTTTAAATAACTTAATTTTTCAAGAACTATCATAAAATTATGACTTATAAATTATTTAATGAATAATTTTTACAATTTCCATAAATACTAGATTAATAAAAGAATTTTAGTTCAAAATACTAAAAAAAATTAAATTTGAGAAAGTTAAAAATGATTCCAGAAATTCAATTATTTTCAAAAGTTATAAAAATTCTTGGTCAAAATTTCAGTTATCTTTATAAATAACAAAATACATCATGGAAATTCAATTATTTTTAAAAAATTTAATAAAATTCTTGGCAAAATTTCACAGGAATTTAATTATTTACAAAAATTTTTAATAAATTTCAGATTTCTTCGAAATAATTCAATTATTTTCATAAGTAATACAATTTTCATAGGAATTCAATTATTTAAAAATATTTTTATAAAATTCGTCGCAAGAATTCAATTATTTTTATAAATAATAAAATTCTTCACCAAAATTCAATTATTTTTATAAACTTGAATAAAATTCGTTGGAAGAATTAAATTGTTTATATAAATAATAAAATTCTTCACAGAAATTCGTTTTTTTCATAAACTTGAATAAAATTCGTTGGAAGAATTAAATTATTTTAAAAAGTAATAAAATTCTTAGGAGAAATTCAATTATGTTCGAAAAATTCAAAAAAAAATTCTTGTCAAAAGTTCAAGCATCTTAATAAATAATAAAATTCTTCTCCGAAATTCAATTATTTTCGAAAATTTTTAACTATTTTCATAAATAATAAAACTCATCGCAGGATTTTAATTATTTTTGATACAATATTTTAATTAAATTCCTCGAAAAATATAATTATTCTTAAAAATTTTATTAAAATTTGTCAAAAGTATTCAATTTTAACAAACATTCAATTATTCAATTAATTATTTATTTTTTAATTTAAATAATTGAATTCTTCTGGAAGTTTCTAATAAAAATTAATTTATAAATGAATTAACGAATAATCGATTTATTATTTATGAAAATAATTGAAATATTGGAAGGAATTTTATTACATTTTTTTAAATAATTGAAGTTTTTTGTGAAATTTTACTAATTGTAAAAATAATTGAATTCTTGCAAGGTATTTTATTGGGATTTTTCGTAAATAATTAACTTTTTTGTAAAAAAATTTATGGTATTTTCTAATAATATTCTTATAAGTTCAATTTCAAAAAGGTTTGAATTTGAATGTTTTAAAGAATTTTAATTCCTACAGAAAAATAGTAATGATTAAATATTTATTTAAAAAAGAAGTTATTCATGTTTTTGAATAATTTTACAGTTAAAGAAATTTGCAGATATTCGAGCATTTTTTCAAGTTTCTAATAATTTTTAGAGTGAATCAGAATATTCTTTAGGGTCAGGGAAAAAGTTAAAATTTTGTCTGAAAATCAGGGAAAAATAAAATTTAATATTTATGGCAACTCTGGGAATTTTCTTGTTTATTTTTATTATCAATAAAATAATTTTTGAAAATATTAAACAAGGAAAAAAATTTCAAGTTCAAAACTTTAGGGTCATAAAAAATTAATATTACTTGAGTACTTTTCCGGGAAAAAAAATACGAGTAGGTATTATACTTTTTTTTAAGAGAAAAATTTGCAATCGTAATATATAGGAAATGCAATGAAAATTACATATAAAGAGGCATTATAATTGGCTCATTTCTATTTCAATTTTAATTGAACGATCATTAATTTTAATTGAAAAGGTGAAAAGTTGACATTCGTCTTGATTGTTAGTTGAATAAGATCCATTTCATCTACTCGAGTGAAACTCCATGAGGTATAGTGCGGAGAGAAACTGAGAAAGACTTTGCTCTGCGAAAGGCGAGAGTTGTTCCTTTCGTTTTGTCTTATTTAGTCGCGTGTCTTTGCCCGCTTTCGATATCTCTCTCTCTTTCTTTCTTCCTCTGAAGATTTTATTCTCATTGTTAAATATGCACCTTCATGCAGTCAAAAAAAAAATCAGTGGGCGTACAATAAAAAAAAAATCCCTCCACAAAGAGACAAAAAAATTTTCAATTTATATTAAAAACACTTTCTCGAAAAAATTGTCAATAATTATTTCGCACAAAAAGTTTAAAAAAATTTCTTCACAAAAGAAAGAATTTCCGCTAATCAAAAAGTGCTATCAACGACACATATATTATGAATCAGCAAAGTAAAAATGGGAAATAATGCAAATTGTGAAATTTGATGAAGGCCTTTTGAAGAAATAAAGAAAAAAAAAATTTTTCTTTTTTTTTTCGAAGTGAGTAGTAATCAGAAATTGGTAATAAGAGAATAATAGGTTTGTGCATTTATCATTATAATTGCCATTTTGCATCTTGTGTTTCTTTCTGAAAAACAATTAATTTTTAACGTTCACAACCTATATATGGAAATGTCACGTGCTTGAAATTAAAACATTGTGAAAAATGTATGTCAACAAAAAGGACAAAAAAAAAAGAACAGTGTCTATGAAAAATGGTATTTTTTTCTCAAATTATCTTGTTATAACTATACTATTAAAAATCGGGAAATTATTTACAATGACAAGAACGTGAAAAATTGTGTAATATCCTCTCTGAGAGACACAAATAATTGATCCATAAGAAAATGTAATTAAAAATTTTACTAGTTTTTATAGAAAAATTTGCAAAAATTTTTCCATAAAATTAATATTTATGTTCTTTAAAAATTTTTATTTAAAAAATTAAGTAACTATTTAATTAACATTATTTTTTATTTTAGTTATGTTAATTTTTGAAAATTGCAAAAAAAATTGAACGTTCAAAAATTAAGGGACATTTTTAATTACAATTATACGAATTAAAAAAATTGAATTTAGAATAAAATAAACTATGAAAATAAAGAAGAATGTCGAAATGATGGGTGTGATTTTCCCGTGGGTAATATCGCGTATATTATGAAGCTTGAACTTATTTATATGTAAGGATGTAGCTAATCCGTCTATCATGAATATAAAATGATTTTCATATTTGTCCTGTTTGCCGGTGGAATTCCCTTTTTAAATCACGATACACACGCACACATTATTTTATTTACAATATATCCGGTGTTTTCCACTTTCTTATTTGCCGATAACTAACAAAAAAAAAATTACTCAAAAAATTCTAATATTTATTTATACTAATTGTAGTATTAATATTTATCAATATTCATTAACACTAATTTCAATATTAATATTTATCAATACTAATTGTAATATTAATATTTATTAATATTTAAATATTAATCTTATAATATTAATATTTTAATATTATTCTTATAATAATTATTAATAATTATGAACACTAATTAATATTTCCGAATTAGCAGTAAAATAAATGTTTCGAATTAAAAAACCAACAGAGAACAGAACGAAATTTTTCATCTCGTTTCGAAACGGTCGTGAGAGAGAAGAAAAAAAACAGTAAAAATTCCATAAATAGAAATAATTGTCAATTACCTTAAAAAGAAGCTCACTGCACTCAAACATAGGTGTGTTCATTACAGCAGCCGACATCTTATCCTTTCTTCTTATTAAATGGCCCTTTTGCTACAGCAAGTAGCCAATTATTAGTCACTGAAAGTTAACGAAAGAAAAATATTTATATTTTTTAACGTTCACACTAAATTTAGAAAACTATTTTTTCCTTCTTGTCTTTATGCACAAAATATTAGAGCGTGATTATTTTTTTTTTAAAGTAAAAGAAATAAATAAACAAATAAAAAAGTCTTTGAAGAAAAAAAAAATTCGCTCTTACACTATAAACGTCAGACTGAAGTTTACACCTCCACGTTTCGTGAGTGACTAAAGGAGAGGTGAAAGTGAATGAGGAGAGGAGAGGAGAGGGATATGCAGCGGCGCAAGCAGCTGCCATCAGTTCCCCCTCGCCCCCTCCTTTTTCAAAAAAAAAAAAGAACTTTACCTATCATTTAAATGTTACATATATTTGGAATTTAATTCATAAATCTGCAATTGTAATTGACATGCAAAAATTTAGCTTATGAGTGATAATTGTGAAAAAAATTTTTTTTTCAATTCTTTTTCTTTTTCATTTATTATACACTTCAGTTTTTTGACCTCTGATACTGCGAAAACAAGAAGGAAAAAATATTTGTTATATATTACTTAATAAAACGAAAATTGTCACAATCGAAATCTTTTGATTGTCAAAATTTAAGTAAATATTTTCGCACTTATTGCTAATATTTAAAAATTAAATTAAATAGAAATAAATAAAAAATATTTAATTTCATAAAATTAGTTACTCAAATTCAAACAAAAATGTATTTTAATTATAGTTACTGTTTTTTTTAAACATATTATTATTATTATTTTCCCAAAGTTTAATGTTCATCTAAACGAAATTTTTTTCTGCTCAAAAATTTTCAAAGATTAGGGGAATGTAGTCAAGGTTGGTCTACTGTCTAGGTAGGCCATCGCGATTTTTTGGACAAGTTCACTAGCGCCACCTACGCGCATGCTTGTCGAAGCTTGTCTTAGTGTAACCTAACTTTTTGTTCAATTACATTTTCGGAAAATCGAAAATTGTGTTTTCTGTGACGTCGGTACAAAAAAAGCTCAAAAAAAGTTTTGTGCATAATGTGAAAAACCATTAATAAAAGATAAAAAACAAATTGAATCGTCAAGGCAAGTATGCAGAAAATTTGTGGGACTCATGGTTGAAAGAAAAACAAAGTAAAAAATCGAATCCCGAAACGTATTTCTTTATGGTTACAACAATTCGGTAATGTTACTTACTGTCAAGGTCGGCCACTATGTGTTTAAAATGCGCAAAGATGAGGACGAGCTACGTCATTTGCAAAAACTGCAATTCTGTATAACTCATAATATAATTGATCATCTTATTAATATTTTTATTTAATTTTATTAATATTTTAGTGCAAAAATTTTTTTTATTTATATTTATTTTTTATATTGTTTATTTTTATTATTTTGTTATTTCATTAAGTTACAAACTGTAAACAATAAAGAATCAATTTTCCGTAACTCCAAACATGTTATTTTATTTTTTAACGATTAATGCCCTTTGAATTTTAAACATGGCCGACCTTGACTGTAATGGCCAACCTCGACTACAAATTTTTTTTTTTTTTACTTCTTTATAACTTTTTCATTTTAAAACCAATCAATTTACTTTGTACAGAAAAGATGTTCCTATTAAACAGGACTTTCCAACCATATACTTCAATTGTCCAAATTCATTTTTTTAAAAAAGTTATAAACAAAAGTCAAAAAGGTGGCCGACCTAGACTATGTTCCCCTACTACATTGAAATGAAAATTGAATGAAATTTCAAATATTTAATTGGTAAGAAATTAAATTTCCAATTATGGAAAAGAATATTTTGTATTATGAAAAGTATTATTTATTATAATATTTAATAACATAATAATTTAATGAATATAATATATAATTAATAATAATAAAAATTTTGAAACGTCAAATGACAAAAATTTTTTTCCTTTTTAAATTTTTTTTATAACTATACTATAGTAAAAAGAAAAACAATTATAAATATTTATTAATTCAAAAATTAATTTTGTTAATATACAGAATTATTATTTGCTATAAAAATTTTTTTAATAAGGAAATTTAAAAAAATAGAAGTTAAAACGTATCGTCGTTCATTTGAACGGTCAAAACTTTAGGATTTAAAAATTTTACTTACAAAGAAAATTAATAATAATATTATTATTATATTACTTAGCATTTATTATTATTTTACTCAATATTGAACAATTGATAGAATCTATTATTTATTTAAATTATTTTATTTATTGCAATTATTATTGTAATTAAATAATTATATTAATAATTTATTATTAATTATTAATTATTAATATTATTATTGCTATAAAAAATAATAGTATAACTATTAAATTTACTTTCATGAACTTGTTTTTGAATATTGAAATTAAATCTAAACTTTCATCTCTGTCTCTACTTTGTGTATAGGCCATAATTTATTTTACAAAAATATTATTTGTTATTAATTATTCTCGTTAGATTAATTAACCCTTTTTGCCTGTGTCGTATAATGACAGCAGTTTATCCTAAGAAAACATTTGTAAGTTGTTGGGACTATTATTTACAATAGTCTTCATTAGTCATTTTGCAACAGAGGTCATAAAAATTTAGTATTCCTTGAGGTAAGAGAGAAGAGATATTTTATATTGTAATGAAGAAAGGAGTGAAGCACTCGTCTCGATTATGGGGAATCTATTTTTAATGTTTCAACGAGAGGAAAATCCAGATTTAATTAGAATTGTGATTACTTTTGTCTATATATTTTAAAACTAGTCTAGAATATTTCTGACAAATGTAATTTATTATTTTTCATTAGTTCCCTCAATTTTTCCGGTTTATTTACTTTTAATTTTCAGATTTATTTTTCTCAAATTCTAAACGTTCGTGTGGACGAATTTTTTCACTCCGAAAAAAGGAGAGAATAAATGAAAATTTGAAAAATTATTAATGATATTTAAATCATTTGTTTATTATTTTTAACAAATTCTATAACAATTACTTTTTGGAAAAAACGATACAGAAATCGATTGAAATTCTTGAATTTGTTGAATCGAATTTGTATTTTTACTCGAATTGAATTTTATTTATTTTATTATTATTCTATATTTATTAATTTGTATAAAATAATTATTTATCATTATATAGTTAAATATTTGTTGTTATATAATTATTCACTTATTTTCGTCTCTTTGAACTTGTAAAATTTGAGGAAAATTGAAAACAAATCATTAATTTTTCTCGGTATTTGAGTTTGGAATAACAATTTTTCTTAAAATAATAATTAAAATACGTATTTAATTGTAGAGTAAATTAAAATTGAAATTAATTTCCTATTTGAGAATTCCGGTAGAGAACATTATTGGCTTCATAAGCAATATATCAAGATACGAGACTAATAATGCAAAATCTTTTTAAATGAATATTTGCCAAATTAATCTGATAGTCTCAACAGCAATAAGTATTAATTATTGATAATTTTTAAGTCATCATTTTGCAAACAAATTTTTCATTTTCGGTAAGCACTGTAATCTTAATTTTAGTACTGATACCGAGATATTGAAATCTTTTTTGCAAATGAGTAAATTTCACTTTTATTTTTAACGAAAAAAAATTAGTTTTAAAATAATTGTTTACGAATTTACTCCAAATATGAATAGCACTGATTTGTAATAAAATTTTCACTAATATTTAATTATTCGAATATTTAAATTGAAATTTACGAAATTAATTCAAAAAGGCAAAGAAAAGAATTTATAAAGTAAAAATTTATTCCAAAACTATCATATTTTAGGTTATGTTACCTAAATTATTTGTTTACCATTGAAAATTATGTCAGAAGTGTAAATGTTATATTCCACTATTATAGGCAATTCTAAAACTTTTTTCAAATCAAGAACACAATTTCACTAAAAAAAAAACTCAAACTGTTTTGTTATTTTAAAAAGCAAAATAGTCTTTGTTTGAAACTGTTTGATCTTCCGATTTAAAGGTTATTTCTATCAATTCCTTCACAATAATCACTTTGTTGACAGTGATTCACAACATATTTCTCTCTTCACTTCTCAGTAACCATCACTTGTATCATTTTGATCTACTACTTTTTTTTGGCAAAGAAATAATTACCTGTGGTGAAAAACTCCCTTCGTTCTGCTCTTTTCAATTTCAAGGCTAAATCGCATTCAGGATTTGCCAAAATACAAGAGTCATTGAATATCAAAATAAGTTTTTCGTATTAAAATTCTTCTCTCTTCTTCTAAACACTTGTTTTTTTCTTCTCTTCTCTCGTTAAAACGTGTTTTCTCCTTTGCTTAAATGCCAGGACAAAACTTGAATCGATTTTTTGTTGTTGATTATTTATCAGCTTCTTCGCGTGAATTGCGAAAAAAAACTTTACTAACACTATTTACTCGATGAACTGACACTTGGTGTCGCGATTACATTTATGCGAAAATACACACACGCTGCTCTCGTTGAACGCCGATTTGACGATAATAATAAAAAAAATCACGTCAAAACACGTTTAAAAAAAGAAAAATGCAAATCCAATTCACAGAATTGGTTTTCGTTGTCAGATTTATAATTGAGCCCGTGTTAAAAGCGAGTGACAAGAAGTGTTATAACTTTTAAGATGTAAATATAAACGAAGAGTCTGCATTGAATATTTTGTTTAAAAAAAAACGTAACTGCACTTTGTTTTTTTTTTCAAATCGACGCACTACTCTTCTTTCTTGTGATTGTTTTTTTTTGTTATTGTTTTCTCTCTCACTAGTAATTTATTTTCTTTTTGTTTCAGAGTGAGCGAGGGTTGATTTCGAGAAGCCGGTTTTTCACGATTATTCAAGAGGAATAAAAAAAAATTGATTGTATCCTGCTCGACTCCCGAAAGCAAACTGGAAAACAGACGTGTAGTGAACAGGGATCTGAAGCTGGTTTTCGAGTTGTGGGTAAATTGATGAGCGGAGGGAAAGGCGGCGCCACTGGACCAGCCAATCAAGTAAGTGAATCCCCTTCTTTTCTCTCTCGATGTGTAAACTCGAGGGCAACGCAATGTTAGTAAAAACATTCCCCTCGATCATGAACAATGCAGAAACCCCGCGAATTTCGAAGCACGCGATTTTCCAACCCTAAGGGGGCCAAGTAAAATGATTGGTCGAGGGCTTTAAGTTGAAATTTTCTCTGCATCCCTTTTATAATGTTCTCCCACTGCGATTCTTGATCCCGCAGACTTGAGATTTTTTTCTTCTTTCTTTTACTGTCTTTTTCTTTGCCTCTCTCTCTCTCTCTCTCTCTCTCTCTCTCTCTCTCTCTCTCTCTCTCTCTCTCTCTCTCTCTCTCTCTGTTATCGCTCTCTGTTGAGAGTCCCCACTTGGTGATCCACTGCCTGCTGAGCAGGTCCGAGAAAAAAACTAGACAGAGACAGATGATTTTCTGTGCTTGTTCAAAATGTTTTTGGAGGAAAGTTAACGAATGATGATGGCTTTGTAGATTCTAAATTCTAATGTGATGGGCAGGGACTCGAATGATCACTGGGAGGATTAATTATACATTTTTGATCTGTTTTGTCCTTTCTTCATGAAATTGGTTCTTGCGGTTTTTCAATTCTGAACTCGGTATTTTTTTCCTCTCTCTCTCTCTTGTGCGATAATAATAATTATTTCAAATTTTCCTTTCTTGATTCATGCTGTTTGCATTGCAATTTTTAGTTTTTTTCGTTAATGGACTTTTTTCAGATAATATTCATTATTAAATTTTTTTAAATAATTATTACTAATTTTTTTATTTATTACAATTTTTATTTATTATTTTGACTTTTTATTTGTTATTTTCACTTTTTATTTATTATTTTCACTTTTTATTTAATATTTCCACTTTTTATTTATTATTTTCACTTTTAATTTATTAATATTTTTATTTTTAATACATTCCAAGTGTTTTTACTCGATTATTTGTTATTATTTGCAATTATTATCGAATTATATGATTTTTTCTAGTCGAATAAATTCGGTTAGGGCTGTTATCAACTCAATCGTTTTTTTATACATTATTATTTTTACTTCTTATTTACTTTTATTACCTTTTTTGATAAATTCCAAGTATTTTTATTCGATTATTTGTTATTATTTACTATTATTGTCGAATTATATTATTTCTAGTCGAATTAATTCGGTTAGGGGAATTAACAGCCCAACCCTGGCATTAAAGCCTAGTTAACATGCGATTCGTTGCAATTTTGCAACAGCGCATGCTTATCTTAGTACTTTGCGTCTATGGTTATTAGTTGTTTGTTCTCCCTCCAAAACACACGAAATATTTTACTTTTTTATCTCATTGTCACGAAGAAAAGCGAATTTACGAAAAGTTTTATAGATTAACAGTTGGATTAGTGAATAATTGTTTGAAATCTGAACCAAGTGGAAGTAAATCGAAATTTTCAATGTCCAAAGAAACAGATTTTCAATCTTTCATTTTTTCACAAGGTTCACAAGTAAGTTCCATTATTTACCGAAAATATCATTTTTTTCACTATTTATTAAAAGTGTTTAATAAATTTGACCAGTTGTTCGATATTTTAAACGAATTTTTACAATTTTGAACAAATTTTGGAGTTTTTCTGTATATTGAACGGGGGTATACGGGGGATGCGATCTAACCTGAAAATACATTGTGTACGGAAACGATTAATTCGAGAAAAAGGGACGGTGACGGACATTTGTTACCAATATTAACAAGTTTTTTATTTATTCATCATGTTTCGGGATTGACGTTACAAATTTTTGTCTAAAATAAGTAAAAATTATTTGCATTTCGATTTGACAACATGCGCATGCGCAACAAGTGTACTTTGCGTCATGCACAGTTGTTTGTTCTCGCTCCGAAGGAATTGTCTTTGTTGCCGAAAAGTATCATTTATTAAACTCAATTTAACAAGAGTAGTGTCTCTAAAAATGGTTTTATGCACAGAAAGTTCGAATATTGAATATTCGTTTGACATTTTAATCAATCGGTACAAAATTGAACATAAATTTTTTGCAAAGTCAGAAAGTCAATTTCAACTGTCAACAAGTAAGTTTCATTTATCGAATTATCACTGTTTTATTATTAAATGTAACATTAATCGTATTATTATTCGATTGAATCATGAAATTTATTAAATGTTTTATATAATTATTGCCAGTTTCTACATTTTTGTCGATATTTTCCAAGACGGGCGCAAACAATGCGACCTAACCTCAAAATACATTGTTTACCAAACAGTTTATTATTGCGGTATTATTTACGACTATTGTTTCGAAAAAAATTGATTTAAATAGATTGCAGATGTAAATCGTGTAATATTTTTCCAAAACCAGTACGATCTAACCTCAAAATACATTGTTTGCCAAACATTTTATTATTTCGATTATTTCGAATTATTTACAACTATTTTTTCGAAAAAAATTGATTTAAATATTTTGCAGGGCGCAGACAGTGCGACCTAATCTCAAAATTAATTATTTAACAATAACAGTATATAATTTCGAATTATTTATAAATAATACATATTTGTTTATTTTAAAAAACAAAGGAAACTAATTTAAATATTTTGCAGGTGTCAAAATTTGCTGTCAGTCAATTATCAATTTTTTGTCTTTGGGGAGAATTGTGTGAAAATTCATCGAAAATGATATAAAATTGTTTCAAGTGCCGACGTCTATACATATATACATAGAGGAATCATCAAAGTTAGTATTAAAATTAAAGTAAATTACATGGTCTTTCGCTGCGGGTATACGTATAATTGTTTAATGTATACCTTATACTATATATTTTATACATGTGTGTCTAGAGTCATGAATACATGTAAAAGTATATATGTGTAGTATATTGAAAGCGGTCGAGTCTCATGAATGGAATCTTTACTTCTATTCATGCTCCTTGGTAGACCGCCGTTTCTAAATAGTAATTGTCGTTGCTGTTATATTGTTATTACCTCTCTTATATATATATGTCTGCAGATTTTTCATAGGATCTATGATTCAATACTCGACAATCTTTTTCTTTGATCGATTTCATAAAATCCCTTCTCTCCAAAACTGCTTTTCGTTTATATCTAAATCCAAAAAGCCCGAGGTGTATATATATATATATATATATATATATATATATAGAGAGAGATTTTTTTTCTCCTTCCGACGATAGAGGTATAAACAGGGACGAGACTCTTAATGGGTCTGGCGAATAATGCCGATTACATTGATGGTATTTAAAGTAATGGATACTAGATTTTAATCCTAAGTAAACAATGAATTATCCTGGATTTTACTCCTTGTAATATATTTTTAATATTTGTTTCATATTTCTCCAATGAGTTGCTTATATTAAAGTTCATGTGAAAATTTTCATTTCGATACAATTTCTTTTGGTGCTTTATGAAAAAATAATTTTTAATTCTTTTAATGCTTGAACATTCAACGAAATATTTTTCGTTATTCATTTTCATTTTTGATAAATTTTCACAAAATTCTCCCTCATACAAAAATTGATAATTTACTTTTCCCCTAAAGTTTTAAACCTTCAAGTGAACAACATTTATTTATTTCTTTTTCATATTAACGAAATATTTTTCATTAAAAATAAATAATTTACTTTTCCCCAAAAGTTTTAAACGTTCAAATGAACAAACTTTTTTTTCAAATTAAAAATTTTTTTACAATAATATTGAGTCACTTATTAAAAATAATTTTGTATTTAATAATGTAATAAAGTTTAAAAATTTTCGATTAATGTTTTTTATTTTTTATTTCGATGAGTAATTTATGAAAATATTTATATTAAAATATCTCGTTTATTAGAACGTTCAACTTTTTTTTAACAGAAAATATTTTCAAATAACATAATAAATATTTGTAATATAATAAATTTACTATAACAATATTAATAAAATATTAATAATATTAATAAAATTAAATGCTATATACAATAAAATAGTGTCGGAACTTTTTTTTGAAAGTAAAAGACTTTTTATATATAATTTTGAAAAATAAAAAAAGAATCGTGTTCTAAATATTATTGCAACGGGTTAAATATTACTTTCGGAAGTTGATTTAAACAAAGTTTTTATTTAACAAAGTTTGTTTATAATAAAAGAATTGAGAAACAAATATTTTTCGCAAATCAAATAAACCATAATCTCTGTTTAACAAATAGTATCATTAATAAAAACAAGAAGAAAAAATAATCAAAAGAAAAAATTTAATAAATAAAATGTTTGCTTTTCTATTAAAATTTTTAATTTCTTTAGTAAATTAAACATTTGTTTATTTTTCAACTTTGGAGGAATTGAAATGTATTAAGAGAAATAATATTGCATTTTCTTTCTTGTGAGATTAAATTGATAATTGCAAAGCGTTAAATTCACATTATACTTGCATATTTATTTTTAAAAATTTCTCTTATCTCGATTTATGTATCATTGTATATGCGATGAGAAGTAGGAAAATTTTAACAGTATTTGCTTCAAGTACACGGAAAAAATTTTTTTTTTGAAATTGGGCCAAATACACAAATATAAAATACAATATATTGCAAATAAAATGTCAATAGCTTATTCTAGGAGAAACTTTTCTTTTTTTTGGAGAATTTTGGTTTCTTTTGAATGCATTTTTTTTCATTGAAGAGTGAGAAAGAAAAAGAATTGTATCGCATGTGAAATTTTCATGAAAAACCCAACTTCTCTTTTTTATTTGATGATGAAATGTCGTTACAAGTTTTTTTTTTGAATACATTTATACACCCGCATGTATATCACGTGGCATTTTAGAGGGTTACACACTTTGTTAAAGTGAGCTTTGAATTGACTCTCCCCCTACCATTATATAGGTATATATATTTAGCAGCTTGAGAATCTATTACTCTTGTAGAGGGGTTGAAAAACACCCCCATAAGTGGTTTTGTCCGGACTTCCCACCCTCATTTTGCCCCTATGCAACACGATGGGAAATATCACAGCAATTCTAATTGCATTCGAAGTCAAGCCCAACAGATTTTTTTTCCTCTCTGTTCCACTTATATTGGGTATTTTCCCTTTTTGGAAA